AGAGAAACCAAGGCAGAGCAGGGAGCCAGTCTGAAGGGGGGTGGGGGTGGGAGGGATGTTTACACAGACAAAGGGCAGCAGGGAGCCACTCAGGGGCTTCAGTGAACACAGCTGTGACCCGCCTAGAAACCCTGAGAAACAAGTTTTTGTCAAAGCACCTTTCAGCTCTCTAACCCAAACACCTGCTGCCTTTCAATGATTCCTTTCATACATGATGGGGGATAAGATTCAAGCAAGGAGCCCTGGTGGTCCAGCACTTAAGCGCTCAACTGCTAACCGAAAGCTTGACGGTTCGAACACGCTCAGTGGCTCCATGGGAGAAAGACCTGGCAATCTGTTGCCATAAAGATTACAGCCCAGAAAACTCTATGGGGCAGCTCTATTCTGTCACGTGAAGTCGCTATGAGTCAGAATCGACTCGACGGGACCCAACAGTAACAAGATTCGGGCAGAACCCATAGAAAATTGCCAGTGATTGACTCAAGCAAGAGAGATATTGGGGAGCAACTCCCTTGGGGCCCAATTCAGACCAAAGAGGCCAGGTGAGTGCCAAGTGCGATGTCATTTTCTGCTGAGTGAACAATCCTGGGCAGGTTGATGAGGCACTAGACCTGTACAGGAAGGAGCTTCGTGCCCTGCAGTCCACTGCCAACCCAGGCCCAGCCCAGGGCTGTGGGGCAGGGCTGGGTGGAATGAAGTTGAAAGGTCGTGAAAAGGGCAGGTGAGTTCTGGAGCACCCTGTGGAGGACAGAGCCACGAGGTCCCCAGGCCCCCTCTTGAAGACAGTTCTAGAATGGACCAGGCCCTGGGAAAAACTTAAAACTGGCCCTATTTAACACTGCTGTAAGGCGTGCTGGTGGCACAGTGTTAAAGCACTGGGTTCCTAATCTAAAGGTCAGCAGTTCGAACACAGCAGCCACTCCATGGGAGAAAGATGGGGCAGTCTGCTTCTGTAAAGATTTACAGTCTTGGAAACCCTAAGGGGCACTTCTGTTCTGTCCTATAGAGTTGCTAGGAGTCGGAATCAACTTGACAGGAACAGGTCTGGTTTTTTTAAGGCTGCTGTCTGATGCATCGGTTCAGACCAGTTTCAGGGCTAGTGGTTCAGAGCATCAGGCTTGTTTGGTAGTTGAGCTGAGCTAGGCCCAAGCTTGAGTCTTAGCAAAGCTTTGTAGGCTGCGCGTTAGCAAAGCGGAAGGCGCAGAGACCCCGAACACTCATTGGTTGTTAACCAGATATGGACACTCACTGGGGGTCTAGGACCTGCTTCAGGAATTCTCTGCTTTCCAACATCCTTTGCTTTCCCACACAAGCTGTGGGAGCAGCAGCCCTGAGGGGGAGAGGCATCTGGGGGGCCCGCAAGCCTGCCTGGAGTGCTCGTGGCTGTCTGCATTAGGAGGGGAGCTTCAGTGCAGAAGGCAGGCTGCTGCCAACGGCTTTACCGCCCCTCAGCCCCCACCCCACCTGAAAGGCTAAGCCTCTTTGTTTCCATGGGCAGAGAGAGGGATGCTAATGATGAAAGCAATCTGCAGAGAACCTGGACCCTGGCTCGGTTCTCAGCATGGCTCCCGGCCTCTGAGACCCATGACACTCAGCCTCTCTGAGGAATGGGCTTTGCCCGTTTCACAGCCTGAGGAGCAGCACCAGGTAAGGGCCTGTGGAAGTGCTCTTGGGCCGCCCAAAAGGGGAGGCGCTCATAAAGACAGGAAGGCTATGTTCTGTGCAGTCAGCTTTTCTGCACGGAGATTTCAGAGGATTTGCCTCTGCTCTCTCCTTTCCTCCGGGAAACTGAAAACCAGCAGGTGACTGGACCCTACAATAAGAGCCTGAGTCCTGGGGGCCCCCATCCTGGATGGCAGGAGGGAGAGAACCTGTTCAGCAAGGCCTGCAATGGCGGACAACTGTGAGGGGGACAGAAGTGGAAAAGACCCTGCGAAGGGAGCTCAGAAAGTGATGTGATCACGGGCGTCAGGGGTGGCCGAGGAACCCCGCTCAACACGCTGCTCACAACTCCCGTCTATTCACCACACATTGTAGCAAACTTGTGAAGTCAGCTTCGGAATGCCAGACACAGGTCTCGTGAACTGGCGAGAAAATGGAAAGATGGAGGTGGAGGCACAGGGCTGGGATAGTCACCAAGGCACAACAGAGCAGAGTGCCCGCTCACGTTCAAAGGCCCAGCCCTTGACCACCCTAGTGGGCCCCTGAAGAGCTGAGGCCAGAGGACAGGCCCAGGGCTTGTCAGTGGGCTTCCAAACCACAAGGAAAGACCATCCAAGATCTTAAACTGTCTCGGGAAATCATTTTTACATACCTTCAACCTCAGGGGCAAGACACAATACCAAAGATGAAAGCCTAGGACTATGAGCTGGAGCCTCACAGGAACGCCACGTGTGGGTCACCTCGCATGTAGCTGTGGGGTGAGAGTCACATCAGACACCCAGGAAAGCACAGTGGGTGAGCCTGGGCAAGACACTGAAAACCACCGTGGGAAAATACCAGCCAGATGAAGGGCCTTTGGGGAGGGGGGCAGTAAACAGAACACAGCAGCCCCTTAAGGGCGAGATTAAAACTGGCACAGCCCTGCCTGCTTCCTGTGGTCACTGTGGACGCTCTCTGGCCTGCTGTGATGCCCCCAGGTAGGCAGATCGTAAAACGCTGCTGTGTGGTGAGCTGGAGGTGAGGGAGACAGCTCTCTGCAGCCAGAGCACAACCACCCTCGCACACTCGGTGAGGTGCACTCTGCACCAACGGTTCTCTGAGGCCAAGTCCTTCTCTTCTTTGTCTATTCACAAGAGTTAAGAGAAAGGCTGCTTTCTCTTTGTTGATCCCAACAGCAAAGGGTATGAAGGCACCGCCTCAGCCAAGTCAAAGCTACAGTGACGTTCTGATGGTTCATGTGAACGGGGAGAAGCAGGCAGCCAGATTATTGAAAACAAGCAGACCACTCCTGTTCAACTTGGAAATGAATTATACAGTTTGCTTTGCAGAACTAGTAACAGGTTTTACTTCCTATATGAGGCTCTCCAAGCCCACAACTGGGCAAACAGTTACAGTGTAATTAATAACGATGACCCATAAAGCAGATGGTCAGCCCTGCAGGACCTCAGAGGCGAGCATGCCAGGTAACCTGTTGTAAAGATGCACCCCGTAGGGTCACACCTCGGGGTCAGTCTGTGTCAGACAAAACCGGAGCCAGAGTCCTCATTTTAGGCGTCTAGAGTCTACCCCTTTCCTGGTCTCATTAAAAGTGGGACTTTATTTCTTCATTTATAATCACAGAGCACATCTCGCCTTGCTCTTGCTGTTTTTACTTGCTCGAGTCAGTTCTGACTCTTGGCGACCCCATGGGTTAGAGTGGAACTGCTCCATAGGGTTGTCTTGGCTGTAATCTTTACAGACGCAGATAGCCAGGCCTATCTTCCGTGGTACCGCTGGGTGGGCCTGAATCTCCAACGTTTGGGTTTGCAGTTGAGCGCAAACCATCTGCGCCACCCAGGAACCTACCTCTAGCCCAGACATTCTCAAATCCTCTTCTTTTGTTAAAAGTTGCAGGGCCCATCATCCAAATGACTAGATACTAAAGAAATAACAGGGAGCCCTAAGAATGTTGATTGCTACTGACTATCCTCTTCTTAGAATCTATCCTGAGGAAATAACAAATCAATTATTTGGTCCAATATTTGCATACAAGGATATTCATCTCAGCATTTTTCAAACAGTGAAGACTGGAAACAGCTGGCTCTTAAATAATAACCCGTTAACCCATTGCCATCCAGTTGATTCCGACACATGACGGCCCCACGTTACAGAGCAGAGCTGCTCTGTAAGGTCTTCTTGGCTGCAATCTTTACAGAAGCAGATCACCAGGTCTTTGTTCCATGGCGCCGCTGGGTAGATTCAAACTGCCAACCTTCAGGTTAGTAGTGGAGTACAAACCATTTGACCTTTTCTCTTATACGACAGGGAAGAAATTTAAAGGTATCAAAATACACCCTCATATGCCAGACTGTGATAAACCCTTATAACCATGGCTGGAAGTGCTGACAGAGGAAAATGCCCCCATTATAACATTAAGGTGAACAGGTGTGATAAAATGCGAAGCATTTTCTTTTTATCATTTTAAATTTAAAATAAGAAAGGAAAAAGAAATACCGGAAGGAAAAACAAGGCACCAATAAAAACGGTGACCACAGGGCGTGGGGCAAAGTGGGGTGGAGGGGGCAGGGGTGGAAGAAAGTCTTCTTTTTACGTAGTTTTCACTTTTGAATATAATGTATTACCTCTTCAAAAAAGTAAAACGTTTTTTTTAAAATTGGAGGTCCAAAATATACAGCAGCTGACAGTGAAGCTGCTCTGAGGGAAGCGGGTGGGAAGGGATGGCAGTGCCCAGCCAGTCCCGTCTTTCTTCACGCCCGGGCATCTCGGAGCCGCTTCACGGCTCTGCAGAGCAGTCTGGAAGCCAACAGCCTGGCCCCGTCGGTTAGTCTCGCTGGCTAACTCTCTGGGTCTCCCTGCACAGGCCATGCTCAGGAAGGGCTAGATGTGCTCCCCTGAAGAAACAAAACACCCATTCCTTTTGAAAGATTTATTTTTAATTAAAAAATAAAAGTTATCTTAGCATATTGCATTGCAGCTTCAGGATGGCAATTAAATGAAGCAAGAAAAACAAGGCTTATCTGTTTTGGGGTCTCCTGACCACCTTATAATGGGTACCAAGGCACACGTGTCTTTAAACAAACACAAACTTCATTCAGAAACAACTCCAGTTAACTCAGGACCCCCTTCCCCCAACTCTTTTTTGCCCACCCTTGTCAATCCTCCCCCCGCAAAAACAACCAAAACATTAAATTCTCTTGTAAAACCACAGAAATAAGTGCTGAGTCAGCAAGGATCCTGGGCCTGCTGCCCACATCCCTCCACATCTCTCTGCTGCCCAGAGCTGGCAGAGGAGCGAGTTAGAACAATCTCCACTGTGGGCCAGGTGGCCAGGTGTGTGTACCCGGCCCCGCGGCCGCCTCCCCCGTCTGGGACAGGCCGTTCCAAGAGCTGTCTCCCTTAATCAAGGGCATCCCGTGGCCACAGCAGCCTCTCCGCACAAGAAAGGCCTAAGACTAGCAAGTCTCCACCAAACACTTGTTGTGAAAACACCACTGAGAACTGTGGGAGGGAAGGAGACGGTGGATCGCTTCTCCCCAAGTTTACCAAGCTTTTGTCTTTTGGAAGTTTTTCTCTCCCTATTTTCCCTGCCTTCTCTCTTTTTCCCTTCTTCCCAATCTCCCCCTTCCCCCAAAAGAGTTTTATTTTAGCTTGATGGTAGGGGTTCCAAAGAAGTTATTGGCAACTCCTGGGGCCGGCCTGGGGGCTCTGCCACTTGTAAGGGGTCATCACACGCCTTCGGTTCCTCTGGGTCACAGGGCCCCTCATGCCCCTGACAGGGTTCCGGGCGCTGCTGGCTCTGGGCCTGGCTGTTCATCTTCTCTTCAGCTTCAATCTCTTCTGATGTGGGGATGGAGTTCTTCTTGGGACGACCTTTGGGTTTTGTGGGCGCTTCCTGTCCACCTTTAAGAACCTACACGGGAGAAAAACATTTAATAAATCTGGGAAATACCTCCTCCTCTCCACTTTCCCACTCCCAGTAAAACCTCAGACACCATACAAACAATTCCTTCTCAGCAGTGAAGTCATAACCAAGCCTGCTGCCGGCGAGTCGATTTCAACTCACAGCAACCCTAGAGGACAAAGTGGAACTGCCCCACAGTGAAGTCATAGGGTTGGACAAATAGTATTCTCAGACTCATCACTGCCAGCCTACAAAGACCACTTCATTGTCTAAATGCTCAATGCACTTTTGGTCAGTATCACATATTTTGGCATTTATTAAAATGATCATGAACATTAAAAATTCAACTTCAACAATAAGCAAAGAAATTAAAATTAGGATATTGATGTGTTAACTATCAAGTTGACAAAGTAAAAAGACAACAACAGTCGTAACAAGTTGGGAGATGAATACTAGGCTCTAATGTGAAACTGTCATTGGTAGAATCTTTTCAAAAGAGAATCTGAGAACTCAAATCAAAAGCTTTAAAATGGACTTCTGGCCAACATGGCACTATAGTCAGACACACAATGCCACCCCTCTGCAGCAAAGATCAGAAAAACTAAGTTAAACAGAGTCACCCGTCAATCCTAAGCATCAAATGAAGAGAGAAAGAACTCAGCCAAGCACCAAATGGCATAAGAAACTGAGCGAGAACAGAGTGCAAGGAGAAATACATGCAGAGGTCCCCTATCAGCTACCACAGCACAGATCCGCCATCTTGGACTCCTATCTGAGATCAGCAAACAGAAGGTACGAGAAAGCGCTTCACAGAGCTTCCAGCAGGAGACAGAACAACTGGTAACCCACGACATAGGCTTTCCCACCCCCCACCCTTCTTCACCCCCACTTAGCCTCCTCTGCTTCCTGAAACCACAGTCTATTGGCAGGGAAGCACGAGCTTTCCCCCAGTGCTGCTTGGATTCCACCCGCCCACATGGGCCAGCTCTCTGAGTGCCATGTGTTAGTTGCTGTGTTGCTTTTCTCTGCATCTTTTGGTTTCTTCCTTACCTCTCACCACCTCCCCCTCCTTTCTCTCAAATACCTGGCTCTGTGCGCCATCTTTGCATCTTCCTGAAAGGCTGCGGAACACCACTCAACTGTGAAACTGCTTCCTGGCCCATGCCACCACACTGGTGGGACCCCCAGGGCTTTTTTGTTTGTTTGCTTGCTCTGATTTGTTCTGTTTTGATATGTTTGTTTTTCTTTTTCTTTTCTAGGCTTGGGAGCCCCTTCTAGCCTGGCAGTACCACGTGGCTTGGAAGCTAGTCCCTTACTCTGCGCAGACCCACAGGGACATCCCTGGGGGCATTTCTTTTTTTTTGATTGTTTTTGGGTTTTTTTTTTTTTTCATTTCTTTGTTTAGTTTTCTTCTCTCTCTTATTCCCTTTTTGTCTTCATTTCCAGTTTCTCGATTTATTCATTTTTTCTTTTACACTTTTTCTTTTTTTTCCCATTTTTGTTTTCCCCCATTTCTCAGTCTCTCATCTCTCCACTCCAACAGCAAGCTCCCTAGCACGCTTTTTTCTTTGTGTGTATGTTTTTGGCTCCTGTTCCTCTCTCCTCTTTCTAATCTTTCCCATACCCATCTTAGCTCCACACATCACAATCCAACCCCCCTTCCTGCCTACCTGCACCATGCACTGAATATCACACTCCCAAGCAACAGAGGCACAGCCTACTGGAACCTGCCCTGCACTGATTCCTGGTCCGCACTGTCAGCCCTGGTACGTGCCACAAACAACCCATCCCAGTAATTCCCCTTCAGTTGGACCTGCCCTGCTGTACCATACCCGAGTGACTGACCCTGCCCACTGGAGAAGGAGGGAAAAGTATCACGCCCACAGATGAGCAAACAACAAAGGACGCACAGCCCACCTGCTCAGACATAACCAAATAAAACAAAAAAGCAGGATGAAACAAACAAATCTACAATCAATAAATGAGGAAAATAACCACTGAATGCCCCGAAGACAGCAGACAGTATCAAAACATTTACAAAAACAGGACAGGATGGTTCCAGTAGGCATTCAAAATAAATCACCAGATGACCTTCCAGTAGAAGAAAAGGCACTAGACCTAACTGATAGGGAATCCAAATCTCTAATATTCAGAATTATCTAAGAGTTGAAGCAAAAAACAGACAAAAATAAGGAAAAAACAGACAAATTCATGGAAAATACTGACAAAAAAATTGAAGAATTCAAGAAAATAATACAGGAACAAAATGCTAAGATGAATTCACAACTAGAAATCATACAAAAACAACAATTAGAAACCAAAAGATAAACAACAAGATTTCAGAAATGGACAGTGTCTTAGAAGGGCTGAGGAGCAGGTTTGAAACGATGGAAGACAGGATCAGCAAAATTGAAGACAAACACTTGGATACAACTCTGAGGAAAAATCAGAAAAAAGAACAAAGAAAAATGAAGAAATCCTGAGAATTATGTGGGATACATTCAAAAGCAAAAATCTGCAACTGATTGAAGTTCCAGAATAGGGGAAGAAAACAGAAAACACACAGAGAATCACTGAAGAAATACTGACAGAAAACTTCCCCAATATAAAGATGAAAAGCTGACCATCCAAGAAGCTCAACGAACTCCATATAGGATGGACACCAAAAGAAAATCACCAAGGCATACCATAATCACACTTGCTAAAACTAAAGACAAACAAAGAATCCTGAGAGCAGCTCAAGAAAAACAAAAAGTCACATACAGAGGAGAAACAGCAAGACCAAGCTTGGATTATTCAGCAGAAACCATGCAGGCAAGAAGGCAATGGGATGACATATATAAAACCTTGAAAGAAAAATACTGCCAGCCAAGAATAATATATCCTGCAAAACTCTCGTTCAAATATGATGGTGAAATTAGGTCATTTCCAGAAAAACAGAAATTAAGGGACTATGTAAAAACCAAACCAAACTTACGAGACTTATTAAAGGGAGTCCTTCGATTTGAAAACAAACAATATCAGACCACAGGCTGAATATAGGACACAGGATTGTACTAGCCAGAAACCAACCTAGGAAAGGAACTCTTAGGGACTATCAAAAACCAAAAAGAATTACAAAAGAGAGGTTAATCTGTAAATGACAACAGCATCAGAACAATATAAGAGGTAATAAACGGTGTAGGTATAGAACCTTCTAATGGAGAGGAAGTCAAGTGATACCAAGTGATAATAGACTGGTTCAAACCTAGGAAGATAAGGGCATATTTCAAGGTAACCACAAAGAAAGATAACAAACCTACTCATCAAAATAAAGAAAAACATAAAGTCTCAGTAAAAACAAAACCTACGAACACAGAAGAAATGAAAAAAAAAATCCACAAACAAAAGGAAATCAGCACAGGAGAGTAAGAGGAACAAAGAAAACGTCAGCACCACAAAAAAAGCACTACAAAATGCAATCCCACTCCTAGGAAT